AGCGTCAAATATAAAAGAACTAAACAGTAAGGCCAACTAATTTTGTGAAACTACAGCCTCAAATTGCAACACGTGATTTGAGCACAAATTCCATCAACTGAGATTTTTTTTTTGTATTTTGTTTTTTTCCCTGACATAGCTGGTTTTGAGCAAAAATGAATGCCACCCCAAGCATCTGGAAATTATCTCTGGAAGGAGAGTAGTAACCAATTTACTTGTGTCCCTCTGTGAAAGGGAGAGGCAAGGTCAGGATGATTGTAATGGAGATGATCTTTCTCCTGACCTGTTCTCTTTCTCCACCCTGCAAAACAGGAGGAAGTAGAACATCCTCTTCTGTGTTGACCTTTTTCTCCTCTCTAGTCATGGCTTTCCTGTCCCTTATGGTTTTTAGAAGAGGATCGCCTTTTACAGGTAATTCTGCCAGTCTAGGAGGCCCAGTGTTAGTGGGCTACTAATCTTAGGGCTAGTGTAAAATGAAGTAGCAGTTTTGCAGCAAGTTTCTTTCTCCTTGGTACTAGCTGTCCTGGTTGTGGCTTTTCTTTGATCCACTTGCAAAACTGACCAACCTAACCAATGTAATTTTCTTAAAGACAAAATACGAGGCTGCTTCTGTGCTTGTAAATTAGACAGACTGATGTGCTGTCTTGCAGTCATATGTGATGTTTAATTGTTAGCGCGGTCCCTGATACTATTTTGGCTCATGCCAGCTAGTGCTCTCCTGGACAATGTTTGCGTGTGGTTCAGGACATAACACGTGCCTAGAGTAGCCAGTTTTGGATGCAGCCCCCACTTTGCGGGGGAGAATTCAGCCGTGTAGCTGTGAGCTACGTCATGTTGCTTGATCTTACTGGCAGAGATGTCTCTGTTCTTATTTAAGACTATCTAAAATACAGCCTCTGTGCCCACTTGCAGGGGATTTTAGGCTCCAATAGCTGTTTCTGGCCTTTTCTCAGGACAGACAAGTCTTGACTTTACTCCTGTTCTTGGAGCTTTCATGATGGATGCTGTTTCATAGACACCTTTCGTATGCAGTGTTTCATCCTCTGTGCTGCTTACAGGATAGCAGTTTCTTGTTGCATCATCCAGTTTTCACCTTTGTTAGAAAGAATGACTGCACAACAGGTTTTGTTGGTAAGATAAAAGAAGCAAAAAGAAATTTAGAGGAAGTTGCCTTATACCTGTTATACAAACGTTTAGACCAGTAAACCAGAGCTTGCTCTGAGAAATGAAAATGAGCCTTCATAGTAATATAATCCTCTTCAAAGGAGTTTATATTGCTTATATCTGTTAAAATGAATACTGAAAGTGGTATTGCTAACTGACATAGTTATACTGGTAGAACTTTGCATGCTGGACATTTTGAAGCACTTTGAAGCATTTTCCAAACTGACTGTATATAAGTACTTGAAAACTAAGACCTGGAAGGTACCTCTGTCATAAAGTTCAATTTCTGTCACAGGTATCATCACTTGATAGGAAAATTAAAAAGATAAATCAAGCAGAAAATGTGTGTTTTCTCACAAAATTTTTACTTTTATTTGCTTAAAATACAACATAACTTCTAGGGGTATTTCCCTTTTTTAGCTAAAAAGAATGTCACTAGTATTAGATGCTTTTAATTTTCCAATGTGTAAATAGCTATGAACAGTGAATATAGTAACCGTTCAGATGTGACTGTTGGTCAGAACCATGAGTAGAAGTGGATGAGAATAACTCTAGAAAAATATGTGTTGAAATATTCTGATAAGTTGATCAAAGAAGAGAAGAGAGCTGGGAACAAAGCGTTCAGGAAAACCTTTGTGAAGCCATATATATGCTTATGAATTTAGGCAAAAAGAAAAATCAGTTATGGTCAGTAAGAACTTGATGTTTTAGGTTGGCTCAGTAATCTGCATATCCTTCTCACAGTTAACTTTTGTTAGACGGATCTGAGCATATGGTACTAGGAGGATGTGATATGTTCTTTCACTTGACAAAATGCCATGCAATGGCTTTAGATTATAGCACTGCAGTATCATAATAATGAAGACTACACTATTATTGTCAAATTTGCAAAGATCATTTACTGTGAGTGATTCTTGCACTTTAGTAGCCTCAAATGCCCAAAGTTTATTGATATACTGCTTTATCATCTGCTAGGTCAAGTTAATGACTTGCTCCAGGTAGAGGTTAGAGTTGGGCAATATTTCATACAGGTTTTTTGTCAAGAGTTTTGAGCTTCCATGCTTTAATTTATGCAGTTTAATATAAAAGATTGAGATACATGCTCATTCAGTTGAGGAGGCTTACCTGCAGGAGAGAAGAATCAAAACTCTCTTTTGTAGACTTGACAGCTAGTACATCACTGAGTATATATACAAGAAGTTCATGGCATTTAAGTAAAAATTTTGACATAAGAGTTCTGAACTTTTCTTTCAAAATACCTGTGTGCATGTGTGTATACATGGTAAGAGTTCTGAACTTTTCCTCCAAAATACCTGTGTGCATGTGTGTATACATATTATAGTGTGGGTACATATAGGTAGACACATGCATGTATATATATTATAACGTGCACCTATCTAATCTATATCTTATAATTTATATATAAAATGTAGTGTAGCTCAATTGATTTCCCCACCCCCAGAAAGCAAATTAGAAAAAACAGACCTTTAGGCTGTTTCAGTAGACCAGCTTCTGTAGTTCAGAGCTTGCTTACTTAATTTTTCTTAAGCACATTAAGCAGTTCTAGGCAGTTTTTAGACTATTAGAAAAAATAGTCTTTCTTGATGTTGAAAGGCTCGTATCAGCCTCATTTGAAAATTAAATCTAATTACTTTAAAATGCATGTTTATGCTATTCTCCCCTCCCTGTTTTTTTAGTAAAGCTTCCTAAGGCTCAAAATTATCTTGATAATTTTTCTCTATCTTTTTTAATCCTTTGACATTTGAAGAAAGGTCTTTTTTTCTGCAATTGACAAGGAGGGTGTTTGACTATGCAAGGGAATGCTGACTCTGTCTAGCCAGAAAATGTTGCCAAATGTACAGTCCTTGATAGAATAGACAAGCCTTTTTTTTTTTTTTTTCTGCTAACATTCAGTTTATAGTAATTGTAGCTGTTACTTGCAGCTTCAAGTATTTAATTTTGGGATTTGAGATACTGGGGGTTTTTTTTCCAGATTTGCAGTGTCCCTGTAAAGACTGTAGAGATAAGCGTCCAAGATGCTGATGAATATTTTGTTCTGTGTACAGTGGTTTCCTGTCTAGAACTATGGCTAAGAAATGGGTTTAGGTAGCCGGTATCCATAAATCAAGGTGTTATGTCAGCTAACAGGCTCCCAGTAGAACAGAAGTCATCTCAAATTCACACTGACTGTGGGTAGCTAAATAGACAGTGGTACGTTTGCTGGTCAGGACTCCGCAAATGATAGAAAGTAGAAAGGAAATGAGTGGAAAGGTTCCTTCTGCACACCACAGTGGAGTTGCGGAGCCCACTCTAAGCTCTGACGGTTGTGTTGGACTCTAACAGCAGTGTACTTCATGTTGTGAGTACAAACTCATCATTGCCATAATAGTCCAAAACCTCTAAAAACCATGTAAGTAAACGAGCTGTTTCAGTAGACCAGCTTCAGTAGTTCAGGGCTTGCTTACTTAATTTTTCTTAAGCGCATTAAGCAGTTCTAGACAGGCTGTCACTATGATCTTTGAAATATTGCCACGTTTCTTTCGTTCTCTGCTTTTCAGTTTCTTTCATACTTCCTCATACTCTGTTCGTTACAGATTTCTGGGTATTCAGGCTCTTATTTGGAGCTTAAAAGCATTCCAGACCACAACATAAATTCAGAAATGGAAAAGGGAAGAGATGTGCATTTATTGTCCTCTCTTTTACCACAGCCTGTTAGACTCTGCAGTGGGAGTCAAGCCTGTAGTTTCTGGCTCTTACCTGGCAGCCAGTTTGCAGGTAAATTAACCCAGCAAGCATGTATCATTTTTGACTAGAATGGGTATAAGGTAGTAATTTGAACCTGGAAAATAATGTCTTGGCCACAGTTTTTGTCTGAAAGTAATTTTGCTTTAACTTTATAGAAAGGCCTTGCTTTCGTAGGGATCTTTTTCCCCCTTCATTTCTTGTCATATTACTCAAATGCCTATATTCAGAAGTCTTCAGAAAGATTGAGGAATAACTGATGAAAACCTTGAATCATACTTTTAAAACATAGCACATGCTGTGCAGTTCCAGTAGAAGAAAGCAGTATGGTTGAAGGGTTTAAAACATGCTTTCATATTAATTTACTATCATTTAAATATTCTTTTAAGCGACTGCTTATGGATTCTGAATTTTCAGTTGCAGCTACAGTTTATTTGAAGTTTAAAGGGATATGATGCATTTTCTTTGTGAAGTATTCTACTCTTTTTGTTCACGCTAGTTCTTTGGCTTATTTGAAACCAGTAGTAGACACTACTGTGCTGGCAAATGCACAAATGTTTGTGGTGTTGAACTTCTACCACAGCTGAACACTGATGTGCACTTGCAGCAAAAATGGGAAACGGTCAGTAATCCCTCTTGCCTTTTGAGATGGTCATATTTGAATTACGTTGACAGGATTGACTGAAGAAGCTTGTATTGTTAACAGTGCTGAATCTGTTCTGTAAACGCATAAGACTTTTTTGCTGTGGGGATTTCAATTCAGCTTTCACCAGCACTTTGTTCGTCTAAAACTAAGTTTAAAGGTTTTCCTAGGTTTCTGCTGCTAAATTTGTGTTTTATGTGCTTTGGTCAGGGAAAAAATCCACAATGTTACACACATTTCTGTTTACTATAAATTTATTCTTTCACTCAACTTTTTGTAAGAAATATATGCAATTAAGGTCTTAAAATACACTTTTTCTTCATCTTAAGCAAAATAATCTCCCAGATACCACACATTTAAAAGTAATGTACCTGAAACTCTTAAATTTCAGTAATTTAACTGGGTAAACATTGTACTAACTTTGGTAAATGTTAACTTCATTTCTTCCCAGGCTTCCAAAGGATGAGTTGGCAACAGAACCACAAAAATATGCTGAACAACTTCCTGTAGCTCAGATAATACACCAGGTATGTCCTTCTATTTTAAGGATTTTCTTTCAGAAAAAACATCATCTCTAACAAAATCTGCTTTTCTAGGTCATACAGAATCAAAGTCCTCATGCTGGAAGTATGTAAAAACAACATACTCTTGTTCAGATGACAACTATTAAATTATAAAAGTCTTATTCTGAACATGGCAGTGAAAAGATGCTGTATGACACAGTTGACACTTCAGAGGTTGCTGTTAAAATTGTTGTGTTTAAAAAAAAAAAAAAATCCATTCATTTCTTCGAATTTCCATCTTGACCTAAATCACATTTCCCTTCCTGAAAAAGCAGTCAAAGTACAGAATCATTATTATTGAATAATTGTCATGATGAGTTGAGTAGGGAAAACTGTCTCCCCTCCTAATCCAGTTCTGAATTAGCACTGTTTCTATTTCTAACTATAGCAGTGTCATCATACTTTCTGCTTTGCACAGGGTTTTTTGTTTGCTTTTTGTTTTACACAATTAAAAAACTCAGAGATCAAGATTTTGCCTAGATTGTGCCTTCTAACTGTGTCTTTATTTAAAATCAATACTCATCCATTGATTTAGGTAAACAAATGAGGGATGATGTGGTGTCATGGTTTAACCCCAGCCAGCAACTAAGCACCACACAGCCGCTCGCTCACTCCCCCCCGGTGGGACGGGGGAGAGAATTGGAAGGGTAAAAGTGAGAAAACTCGTGGGTTGAGATAAAGACAGTTTAACAAGTAAAGCAAAAGCCGCATGCACAAGCAAAGCAAAACAAGGAATTCATTCACCACTTCCCACCGGCAGGCAGGTGTTCAGCCATCTCCAGGAAAGCAGGGCTCCATCATGCGTAATGGTTACTTGGGAAGACAAACGCCATCACTCCGAACATTCGCCCCCTTCTTCCTTCTTCCCCCAGCTTTCTATGCTGAGCATGACGTCATATGGTGTGGAATACCCCTTTAGTCAGTTGGGGTCAGCTGTCCCGGCTGTGTCCCCTCCCACCTTCTTGTGCACCCCCAGCCTCCTCGCTGGTGGGGTGGGGTGAGAGGCAGAAAAGGCCTTGACTCTGTGTCAGCACTGCTCAGCAGTAACGAAAACGTCCCTGTGTTATCAACCCTGTTTTCAGCACAAATCCAAAACACAGCCCCATACCAGCTACTATGAAGAAAATTAACTCTATCCCAGCCAAAACCAGCACATGTGGACATCTGAGCTGGGATTGAATACCAGGCTACAGTTTTTACTACAGCATGTCTTCCCCCCCACTCCAATTTATGGCAAGGAGGAAGAAGTGATCTTTTCTGTACAGAAGATTCTATACTCCCTTCTTGCTCTTTTCTTAAAGTTCAAGGTCTGATTCTCAGTCTGTCCTGCTGGTAGATTAGATGCCCAGCCTGCATTCACATGTCTTCTCTGTGGCTGTTAGTCACAGTGGGCTCTGCCTATTTTGTGGAAACACTCATGGCCAAATAACATAGATAAAACTTGTGATATACTGTAAAATATGAGTATTGAGACTTAGCATCTCCCTTCTTGGTGATGCTTTAAAGAAAGCGAAAAGATCTACTCTCTTGCAGTCATTTGGAATTTTCTCAAAAAAAAAATTTTTTTTTTAACTTTGTAGATGTCAGTCCTGCTTCAGAGACAAGTAACTATAGTTTTCCTAAGTCAGGACTGAATAGGTCAGATTACTGTTTTCCTAGTGGTACCTTGGCAGTATGGAATCTGTCAGGTATACTCTGAAAAATTGACCTGAAGGTTGGGGAGATAATGACAGTTCATCATGGGAGACAAAATGGTACAGTTCATTCACTGCCTTGCGATAAGGAAAACTTCCAACCTGAAGACTGGGACCTGTTGGTCAGGGTAGCAATAGCCAGATAGACAATGTGAGATAAAGCTGTGGTTTCAGACTGAGCTGTTTTCGAACTCTTCAAGATCAACAGGAACAAATAAAAGTCCACTAAATGTCAAAGTTGCTTACAAAAGCCTATCGTATTAATTATTATTGTAGATCTTTCCGAATACCTTTGTCAATCAGTGTTTTTAAGCAGTTGAGCATCACACGCTGCAGACAGTGCTGGCTTTACCTTAAAGGAAACATAAGCTTTATTTTAAAATTTTAAAGTGTACAGGTCTTTTCTGCGAGATGTAAACACAAGGGATTTTAAAACTTTTGGCTGAAATCTGCACCTCCGGGAAGAATCTCTGATGTGTTCAGAACATGGAAGATTGGAAATGAGGACCAGTTTGTATGTCAGGAACTCCCTGGTGTTGTCAGAGCTTCAAATGACCCAACAGCCTGCAAATGTCACATTTAAAATTCTGTCTTCATGCCTGACTCTCAGCATAAATGAATTAAACAGCAGAGCAGGCAGCCAGTCAATATGTTCTTAACAGTGTGAGTGAGCAATGAAACAGTTTGGGGGTTGTTTGGAATCAGTAAATAGAAACTGCAAGGAATGGCTCACCTAGAGGAAAATCTCAAATAGGAAACAGAATTAACCTTTAAGATGGTCGACCAGACGAAATGTCATAGTAATATTTTTACAACATTAGGTGGGTAATAACCACAGAGGGTTCATCTGGCTACTGTGTGTTACACTGCAATAGAACATGGCACTGTGGAAAGGCAAAAATCTGGTTTTTATGTGCTCTTACCTGTTTGCTATAACAAATTTACTGGTAGTATAGAGCTGTGGTCCACACAAGGCAGCAAAACAGACCCAACAGAACTGCAAATGCCTCTGGTGTAGAGAAACAGAATAAAATGACCATTGCTTAGCTATCGTGTCAGGGAGTCCGGCATTGTGCCCTGGTTTATATGATTGTGATGCCCTTTTTGAGCCTCCAGGAGCTGTATTCAGCTAAGCATACTCTGCACCAGTGTCCTGGTGAATCAGCACTGCAAAGATTATAACATACAATTTCTGAGAGACCTGTGACAATTGGGACACGTAGTGCAAGGGCCATGTTAAGTTTATATGAATAAATATTTTTTACTTTAAGAAAAAAGAAATAAATTATAAGAAGTAAAAAAACAACATGGGTATAAACAGTGACTAGTATCTGTGGTGGTGTTATGCTTTATCCAAATGGGTAATCACTGTGTTTAGTATGGGCCTTTGTTGTTTCTATATCACATATAAGATTTCTCTCATGTTAACCCATGTTTTGTTTACCTCTAGGCAGAAATAAAGGCATCAGTAATGTATATTTATAGCATAAATGCACATTAAAACTTCACAATGGTAGACAGGTATCCTAAATTGTTATAATGCCAAAGGACATTTTAATTATAGTTAGTAGCCAACATGGCTGCTTATTCTATCCAAATTTCACTGTAAATTTATTCTCCTGAACACTACTAAAAGTCTATGTTTTTCTTGGGCATTCACATGTGATTTCTAACATTCTCTTCAGTACTTTATTTCTGGTATTTTAAAAAATATTATACCAGTGAGCAGAAATTACCTTTTGATTTCTAATGTGATTATTCCACAAGAAAATTTCAGACTTGGTACATCCTAAACTGTTTAACAAAAGGAGACTCAGAATCTGATTTTGGGATTGATCTTAAACTTTATGGAACTAATAATTATTCATTATTAATTATAGCAGTATTAAAAAAAAACCCCAACCTTATAAAGTTCACAGTCCCAACTCTCAGAAATGTGTTATATGTAATGCATTAGACCATGGTTAATTAAAAAGACAAATGTGAAAAAAATGAAAAGAATTAACAGAATGAAAACAAATACTAACATTTAAGCCACTAGTTTTTTACACATGAACCAAAATCAGACATTTGTAAATAAAATAGCTTTCTCCATTTTCAAAAACAAAAAGGAAAAACGTGCTTTTAACTGAGATAAAAAACCACTGGTGCTTGCTAAAGGAATGCAGTCATTAATACAAACTTCTAAAATGGCTAAAGTGAAGCTTTCAGAGGAATACCCACATAAGACAGCCTTTTTCATGACGTTCTGTGTGTACAGCCGTGCATACAATGCTGCTACTTAGAATAAGTTTATGAATAGTAAGGCCAAAAAAAAAAAGGGGGGTGGGAGAAAAAGGAGAGAGTACTTTAATTCTACACTTGTCTTTAGTTGAAACAGGTCTGGTGAAAGAACAGGAGAAACTGCGTTTGAGAAGATTGTTTTCATTTATCATAAGGGATATTCATTGCTGGCCTTCCATTTCAGCAAGCTATTTTAATAAAAGTACCTAACTTCAGTGCCAGTGCTCATGCTCTGAATGTCACTAAGTGTTAATATATTTTGCCTAACTGGGATTTAGGATATTGAAGAGACTTAAACTGTTACAGGTGTCTTACTGATGGAAGGATGTTTTATTGATGAAAGGCACATTTCAGTGGATAAATGCCAGATCTCCTGATGTTGTTATAATTGAAAACAAAATGAAACAGCAAATTCAGATCACGATCAACTTGCATACTTATTTTAGTCCATTGCAAAATATTAAGCAGATAAATTAACATCCTGTTAAAACAGGATGGTATTTCAGGAAACTAACTGCTGGCCCATAGTGGCAATTGCACAATTTACTTAAAATTTGACGTGGCTTACAGTTGCACATTTACTTAAAAATAAAGAGTTCCTAGGTGTTCTCTCATGTAGGGGAATGCATGGGGGAATGTTAGATATAATTTCTAATTAAATTAGATTGAATTTCCTTTTGGAGATATGTGTTAATTTTGTTTTGTAGAGTTTTTAACCAGTGCATTTCTGTAGCCTCTCTGTAGAAGCCTTAGTGGAAAAGACCTTCTGTAATCTCAGGAGATTACTGGGAGATCATGCTAGCCCTCTTGAGTAAATATGTCTATTCCAGATTCCAGTTGAGCAACTCATGTGAGCACCATTACCTTTGCTGAGTTTAGGCTCAGAGGATGTTAGGGAGTTGCCACATCCAGTCTAGTTTGAGGGTATTGACTGCAGTCCACAATAAGGGAAAATAAATAAGAAATTTAAGAAAGAAGATGGAAGAG